AAACAAAAAAAAGGGATAATAATGATGATGATGATAATGGTGATGAGAAAAAAAGAAATAAAAATTAAAAAATACAAAGAACGAAAGAAAGAAAGAAAAAAAGATAAGCGTGAATTACATGATTAAAAGAAAAAAGAAAAAGATAAAGACGAGAGGGAAAAAAATTCAAATACGGGACAATAGATCGTAAGCATTAGTTGTAAAACATTTTGCGTGTGAGAAAAGAGAAAGAGAGAGAATGTGAATTACAATAGAAAGAGGTCGGGGGAGGGGGCGGGGGCGATGACGACGACAAGAAAAAGGGGGCGAAGAAGAAAAATAGTGACGATTAAAGTGAGAAAAATGAGCTAAGGGAAAAGAAAAAAAGATTAAAAAAAGGGCTGTAGGTATATAGAAAAGAGGTATATGTATATGTATACATATATATATAATAAATACTTATAAATATATAGGATTAATATATATATATACATACCTCTTGTGGCGAATCGAGTTAATATGATATATAATGAATATGCGAGAGTTTAGGTATAAATAATATCGATAAATACGCTCGAATTAGCCAACAGTAAGGACGAAAAAGGGTGGCAAGCTGAAGAAGAGGAGAAAGAGGAGAAGAAAAGGATATGTAAAAGGAAGACAAAGAGAGAGAGAGAGAGAGATAGAGAGAGAAAGAGAGAGAATTAATAAATAATAATAAGTAAATAAATGAATAAATAAATAAAGAAGAAAAGAAAAAAAGGATAGAGAAAAGGGATAAGAAGGTTCGAAAAAGAGGAAGGGAAGAAAGAAAAAAAAAGGGAGCGAATATAAACGGGTTGCCCTGGTCGACCCGACCGCTCGATGTTCGACGAGGGTCAACCTGCTTGTTTCTTTTTATTCGCGAATAAATAATTAATCGTCACTACGAACGACGAATTCATTTCGAAGATTAAACAGTGAATGTGTATGTGAGAGAGAGAGAGAGAGAGAGTATATATATTAAATATATATATATATATTATTAATAATGATTTCCGTACTCAATGCAATGGGATTTAGGAATCCCAGTTCTCGATCGATTCAAGATAAAAATGTAAAAAAATAAAAAACAACAAAAATATAACGTAAAGAGAACAGAGAAAGGGAGAGAGAGAGAGAGAGAGAGATGGAGAATTTCGTTGCGTATGACGATGCGTAATTAATTGGTTTTTCTGTTCTTTCGCGACGAGTCAAAGAACATTTGTCGGCCGTTTATAATTTTTTCCATTTTAATATTATTCAATTTATTTATATATATGTATATATACATATATTCATATAAATATTCTTGTTTTTTATTTAAGAATAAATTCAATATACTACGTTCTAAAAAAGAAAGATATTTAAATAATAATTTATAAAAAAAATATAGGAATGAACGGCTGATTAAGTTCGATGGCTCGT